GAGCTTGAGGAAACAGTTTGGAAATAGCACCTTGGGAATCCCCTATCACAATCTGTTTCCCCTTGAACTTCTTGTGAGCAGGCACGTCTTAAACAGTTTTTGTATCCTCATTTGTACAAATACAAATCCTCATTTGCATTTGTAGCAGGCTCAATAAACGATAGAATAAATGGATGAATGGAGGAGGACGAACGACTGAGTCTGAGGCTGCGGAGGCGGTGCAATCTTAGAGCCCAGCTCAGAGGCAGTGACCGCCAACCCGCACCTAAAAAAAAATCAAGGCTGGAGGCCAAGTGAAAAGAACAGCGGCCACACTATCCCAGTCCAAAGTCCTGCTCCTTTAGGGGGCGGGGCTGGGGGGGCAAGTTCACCTCTGCCCTTCAATTGACCAATCCCCGCCTCAAGGGGGCGGGGATTTCAATCTGTTCCCCCCCACCCCTTAAAGTACTAAATATGTTTGGGCGCCGTTCAAACGGACCAATGAGTGCTCGATGTTTCCTGCGCTTGGGCCTCACCGATTGGTCAGAGTTCGTCGTCCCTCCCTCCTTGTTACGCCTTTTGCCCCACCCGGTAGCACACAAGATGGCGGCGCCCAGCGGAGTAGAGGCCGCGCCTGGGGTTTGCTGAGCCTCGTTCCCTTCCCCGCTGCTCCCTTGGGCGCGAAGCGCCGCGAGCCCAGAGGACGGGGGCCGGGCGGGGACAGAGGCACCTGCGTAGCTGGACCGCGAGCCCGCGCCCAGCCTGCGCCGCCCCCACCCGGCCCCGGCCTGGCCCGATCCCTTCCGTTCCCGGTCTCCTCTCGGTCTGACCCATTGCTCGGCCGTGGTATGCCACCACCAGGCCTCCAAAGCTGAGGTTTCTCCTCCAGCCCGGGATCACCTCCACTTTAGAGATGTTTGGGCTATTTCCTCCCAAAGAGCCCGCCTTCAAAACCGGGACTCCTGGACCGGCATCTGGCCCCCTTTCCCTCCGTTGAGACTCCACTTCCTTCTAACCCACGTCTTCCTCAGATTCTCCCTGTATTGGAGACTGCTCACTTCCCTTCCAAATTAATCCCCGACCTCCTCCTTCCCCCAAATATTGACAGCCCTGACACCCCCCTCAACCGGGAGCCAGACTTCCTTTTGGACTAACCCCCATAGCCCTATCATGGAGGCTGTGTACCTGGTAGTGAATGGGGTGGGCCTGTTGCTGGATGTGCTGACCTTGGTGTTGGACCTCAACTTCCTGCTGGTGTCCTCCCTCCTGGCTTCCCTGGCCTGGCTCCTGGCCTTCATCTACAACCTGCCACATACGGTACTGACTAGTCTTCTGCACTTGGGCCGTGGAGTCTTGCTGTCACTGCTGGCCTTCATCGAAGCCGTGGTTCCCTTCACCTTTGGGGGCTTTCAGGCCTTGTGTACCGTACTATACAGCTGCTGTTCTGGCCTGGAGAGCTTAAAGCTCCTGGGGCACCTGGCCTCCCACGGGGCGCTTAGGAGCCGGGAGATCCTGCACCGGGGTGTCCTCAATATGGTCTCCAATGGCCATGCTTTGCTGCGCCAGGTCTGTGACATCTGTGCCATCACCATGAGCCTGGTGGCCTATGTGATTAATAGCCTGGTCAACATCTGCCTCATTGGCACCCAGAACCTCTTCTCCCTGGTGCTGGCCCTGTGGGATGCAGTGATGGGACCGCTGTGGAGGATGACCGATGTAGTGGCTGCTTTCCTAGCCCACATTTCCAGCAGTGCTGTGGCCATGTCCATCCTCCTCTGGACCCCCTGCCAGCTGGTACTGGAGCTCTTGGCCTCCGCTGCCCGCCTCCTGGCCAGCTTTGTGCTTGTCAATGTCACTGGCCTGGTGCTGCTGGCTTGCGTGCTGGCAGTGACGGTGACTCTGTTGCACCCGGACCTCACCCTGAGGCTGGCCACCCAGGCGCTCAGTCAGCTCCATGCCCGGCCATCCTACCACCGGCTCAGAGAGGATGTTGTGCGGCTCTCTCGCCTAGCACTGGGCTTGGAGACCTGGCGCCGAGTCTGGAGCCGTAGCCTGCAGCTGGCGAGCTGGCCTAACCGGGGAGGGGCCCCTGGGGCCCCCCAGGGTGGCCCTAGGAGGGTGCCCTCAGCCAGGACCTGGCGACAGGACGCTCTTCCTGAAGCTGGGCCCAGATCAGAGGCAGAAGAAGAGGAGGTCAGGATGGCCAGAGTGACAGCTGCCCGGGGCCGGGAGAGGCTCAATGTGGAGGAGCCTGTAGCTGGGCAAGACCCATGGAAATTGCTGAAGGAGCAAGAGGAGCGGAAGAAGTGCGTCATCTGCCAGGACCAGAGCAAGACGGTGCTGCTTCTGCCTTGTCGGCACCTGTGCCTCTGCCAGGCCTGCACTGAGATCCTGATGCGCCACCCTGTCTACCACCGCAACTGCCCACTGTGCCGCCGGGGCATCCTGCAGACCCTCAACGTCTACCTCTGAAGACTCCCTCCCCGCCTGCCCATCCCTCCATGCTCCACACAGCCACCTGCGCTAGGACAGCATTCACACCTGATCTCTGGGTCCCAGCCTGAAGCCTCTCCTGCCCCTATGGCCGTCCTGCCGAGCCTCGGAGCCATATGTCCAGGACATGGAGATGGGAAACTCTGGAAGACTGTGGCTTGGCTGGGGGCAGGGTAACAGCTTATCCTTACCCAGTGGGTCTCAGTGATGCCGAGGGTGGTGAGTGTGTCACTCTGCGAGGCCCTGAGACTGTTCTCTGTGGACTCCCCTCCAGCTTGCCAGGGCCCACCCAGATACCCGTGTGTGGGGCTCCCCCTCTCCGCTTCTGGTTGTTCTGTTGGGGATTTGCAGGTTCTCTCCCTGCTCCCTTCCCACTTCCTCCCCCGCTTCTGCAGCCACACACATCAGTGTCATTTGGGTGTTGTGGCAACTCAAGGGCCTTGGAATGATCTTGAACATTTGCTTTAAGCTGGAGCCCCTGTGCTCTGGCAGGCTTTGGGGGTAGTATCTCTCAGGTGCCCTTAGAGCTCCTGCTACCAGTCATGATCTTATGAGGCTCCCTTCTGACCTGACCCAACAGCTGGGATGAGAATTAACCCCCAGGTGTGTGTGTGTTTGCACCTGGCTTTGGGACCATGTGCCCTCTGACACCCCAGCACCACTGGGAACCGCAGGGGGGATAGCCAGATTTCTACTCCTATCCCTTTCACTCCCCACATCGCAGAGTGAGAAGGCATTCCCCTTCTGTTCGTCTCTCCCTGGCATCGGGAGGGCAGACTGTGCACGTTTCACTAGGGTCCAAATACAGAAGGGGCCAGGGCCGAGAGGCATGCGGGTCCCTGAGGTGTCTGTCTGGCCCAGGATCCAATGAATGAAGTTCTGTTACAGCTCTGACGGCCTCCGTGTGCATCCTTGCAAGGGCGAGCCGTCGGTTAGGGTGACGGATGCTGCAGCAGGGTCCTTCGGTCCTGCCGGAGTCACAAGTGTGGTTGGTGGGGGACCTGGCAGAGAGATAAGATAGGGTGCCTTGGGGAGAGCCCCTGCCAGGTGTGGCTGGCTTTGCTTTCACCCTGTCTGATTTGTGCCCTCTCACGTGCACAGCTTTTGGAAAGCTCTCCTTATCTTTTCTATCTTTCCAGAATTAGCCCTAGGAGAGAGGAGTGTGAACTTGCTCACCCTTTGGGTCAGCCCTCCCAGCTTTTCCTCTGGTGCCACTCTTCCCAGGAGGGAACTTGGGGTTCCTACTGCCTGGAGTGCAACCTACCCTCAGATCCCTGGAGGAGTTGGTGCTTGTCGTTGTGACTCTTGGCATAGAGTGGCGCTGTGATGGGCTGGAGTATGGCCGTGGGGCCTCCTGGTGGACAGCTGGGAGGCCTGTCTCTAGCTCACTGGGTCCAGTTGCCATTGGTCATATCCATCCTCACATGACCTGCAAGAGAAGGGGGGGACACTACCCCATAATTATATGTAAAATCTAGGAGCATGATGCCAGGGACAGCCTTCTGGAAGGGGGTGGGGGAGGGGAAAGCGGTAGATGGGAAGAAACTCCGAGGAGAGGCCCCTCCACTTTCTCTTGGGTTGAGAGCCTGAGCTGATGTGGGTGGGCCAGCCCGGGTTTGTTAGTCATCGGGTCGGGGGTGGGGCAAGGAGAGGAGCCTCGGAGGGGCTTTGCGGCTAGCCTCAGACTGAGTGGTGTGGCCCGGTCCAGTGAGTGACTGTTCCCCACATGCACCTTGGAGTTGGGAGGCCTGAGGAAGGGCTCTTTTTTCCCCTTCCCCCAACCCTGGAGAGGGAGCTGAGCAAGGGGAGGCTTGCTTCCTTCCAGTCTCTGTTTAATGTGAGGATAAACATTTTATGAGAGAAGATAAACTTCCTGAGCTGGGAGCAAATGACCCCCTTTTCCTCCACCCCCATCTGGAATCCCACTGGCGGAGCTCAATACCCTTCCTCCCCCTAACCACCTTAGCAGTCAGGAGCTCAGCTACCTAGGGTCATTGCTGCATCCTGGAACTGGGCTGCCCCCTCGTGGCCATCTCCAAGATGACACCTCTAGACACCCAGGGACACTCCACACCCCTGGCATGGGGGACAGAGAAGCTTTCCAGTCATCTAGGGACCAGGCAAGTAGCCAGAGCAGCCATGAATGAAAATCCTGGCTTCCTTTCTGTTGGTCAGGGCAGGGATGTGTGTGGTGAAGTCCCACCCAGTTCATATGACATCTCTGAGTTAGAAAAAGGGCTCCTCCTTCTGGGTGGCCAAAGTCTGACACCAGGACACCCTCCTCAGCAGGGGCTCCCGTTCACAACCTCCACCGCTTACCCAGCAGGTCTGCGGAGCGGCCTCTCCTTCACCTGGGCCTGCTTCCTGTATCTCCTGGCGCATAGCTCCATCCAGCCCAAGAGCCCTCCCTTCTGCCTGAGCACCCTCCCCACCCACCGTCCTCCCTCTTCTCCCCAATCTCAGAATCAGGGCATCCCCACCAGTAAAGAAGAAAGGCTGAAGCCAGTAAGAGGGTTTTTGTTGTTGTTGTTTTAAGATTTATTGAATGATCTCTGAGAAAAGGGCCCAGGAGCAGGAGGGATGAGGGAAGACCCAGAGAAGCAGAGGACTGGGAAGGGAGCACCCCACCTTGGGGTCCTGGGCCAGAGCAACTGCGGGGACTCACACCTGCCAGCACACCGCCAGCACGCTGCCTGCCAGCACTCCTTTGGTCTAGGGCAGAAATCCAGCCACTGCCCCGTGCTGCCAGCCCTGATCTCAGCCTCTGTCCCCATCCCCTGCCTGCAGCAGAACGGAGAGGCCCCCACCCCACCTCCGCGGTCATTCACAACATTCCAGGGGGGCCAGCCCTCCTGGATGATGTGGCTGTCAGTGTCATGCCCTCCTGCCCTTCGAGTGAGACAGCGTGTGCTCACTTTCCAGTGGGCATCAAGCGAAGACTGGGGAGTTGTGCCAGTCAGAATACACTAGAAATCCAGAGAAGGTGCTGTCTGTCTTGATGCTGGCGTAGATGCCAATATAGTCACCCACGCCCACCTGTACCCACACCTGGTCTTTGGGCTCCAGCCTCACCATGGCGCCCCCGGAGAGCGAGGCTGGCTTGGGCCACCCCCCGAAGAACTGGAAGAAAGAGGCGATGGACTCTCCATTCTTGACCAGATCGAACTGCAGGCTAGCCCGGTAGACGGTGGCGTGGACGGCGAAGTAGTAGACCCCGGGCACGTGGCAGGTGAACTTGCCGGTGACGGCGTCGTAATGTCCCTGCTCATTCACCAGCACGCGGTCGAAGGGTAGGGGCGCGTCCGACGGCGGGGGCACCCGGCTCTCTGAGCGCTTGGCACTGAAGGCGGAGCGCGGAGGCACCGAGCACTCGCCTGCTGGCCCGGCCGCCCCCACGGGGCCTGCTTCTCCTCGCGGCCCGGGCTCCCCACGCGGCCCCGGGAGGCCTGCAGGGGTGGGGGTGGGGGGAAAGCGGAGCAGTTAGGGCGCGCCCGCCGCGGGCCTCCAGCATCCTCCCTCAGCCTCCCAGCTGCCCCTTCCCGGGCGGGGCCGCCCTGCGCCGCAGGACCCCCTCCACGCTTCCTGCAGGGCTTGGGGCAGATCTTAGGGTCCCAGGGGTTCTGGCTCCCGCAGCTGAGTCTCTGTCTCCCGGCTCCGGCCGGGTCGGACGGGGACGGGAGCGGCGCCCCCTAGCGGCAACCCCGAGCCCCGAGCCCCCAGCCCCCGGGAGCAGGAGCGGGGCCGCACTCTTACCAGCCTCCCAGCGGAGGCGCTTCTTACCCGGCCTCCCGCCCTCGCCTTTCTCTCCCGGAGCGCCGGGCGCGCCGTCGCGGCCGTCGCGGCCGTCGCGGCCGGGCAGACCCTGGCTGCCATGGTGGCCCGGCGTGCCGGGGAGGCCGGGGTGCCCCGGGCACAGGCTGGGGATCTTGTTGTCGTCCAGCGGGGGCGAGCCGGCCGCCAAGCCCAGGAGCAGCAGAGCGAGGAGCGGCCTCATGGCGCTGGCACGCGGAGCCCGGACGCCGCGGGCCTCTGGTCGTCTGTGGGCTGGGCAGGACAGGAGTCGGGACCCAGAATCCTGGGACCTGCCTCGGTCCCCGCCCCGGCGCAGCCGGCTCGGTCCCCACCCCACTGCCATGTCCCTGAGTGGCCTCGAGGGGACGAAGAATGGGGCGCCCCTAGACCCAAGAACCCCGAGAGCACCGCGCAGGGGGAAGGAGAGGCCGGCCCTCTCCCCACCACCACCCCGGGCCGGCGCCCAGTCTTTCCCACAGTCCCCCCCCCCCTTCCCCTTTCCCCCCCCCCCCCCCCCTTCGCGACCAGACTCACCCCCCTCCCGGCTCCCGGGGCTGCTCGCTCTCTCTGTGGCCTCCTTCGGGGCTCTCGCTACTCCGGACCCTCCAGTTGACCCCTGCTTGCTACCTTCCTTCCCTGCGCTTCTCTCTAGCCAGGCGCCCCCTGCCCTAGGCGTCCCCCTGGTCCCGGTTCGTTCCTTGCCGGCTCTGCTCTGCTCCTCCCAGACTCCAAGAGGAAACCAGTTGTTCGGGGGCCAAGAGCCCGGGCCGGGAAATAGCAGGGAAATAACTCGTGGTGTCGCCCGGCGGCCGGCCAAAGTTTGGTGGAGAAAGGAGGGAGAGATTTGAGGCGGGCACAGAGAGGCAGAACCATGAGAAACAGACGCTCAGGGCATCTACAGCTCCAAGGAGCTGGAAGGAGAGATGGTGCCACGACGGAGATCAAAGACAACACTCTAGTCCAGGAGAAATAGAAGCTGAGAACCGAGGGTGGACGGTTCTAGAAGCAGTAGACAACTGGATCCCCAGGGCTCAGAATAGGGGCTGCCACATGACTAGGCACTGGATACATTTTTTTTTGGAATAAATGAAAAAGTCAGAAAGAGGGTGGCAGAGAGCCTGAAAAAGCAGATGGAGATGAGGAAGGTAGAAGGTGGGGAACTGGGGTCAGAGGCTTGGGTGGGAAGCAATCTAGATGATCACTGGTACAGTGTGGAGTCAGGCCAGCTGTTTGCAGCAGCTGGGGCAAATAAAAGGATAGGGAAGGACCTGGCAGGGTGGGAGGGTCCTGTTAGCCCCGCTGAGGACTCCTCTTCCCCTCCCTGGGAGGACCCAGAGGGGATGGGCAGAGTCCCATGCTGGTCCCCTTCCTTTGCTCCCCTGCCTGCCCACCCTGATAGGCAAAGGAGGATGGGCAGCAGAGGGCAGGGGCCCGCCTCAGGGTCAGGGCTGGGCACAAGCCTCCAAGCCAGCTGCCTCAGGCAGCCTGTTGCAGTTAAAGGGCCAGGGGGTGCCCAGTAGTGCCAGGCCAGACTGGCACTGGCGCTCTGCCTCCTGGCAGACAGAGCGGCAAGGGGGAAGGACACTGCCTAGCGGGGTGCAGTGGGGCACAAGTAGCCCACAAAGGAGCCTCCGGAAATTCTGGTAGCAGGGCAGGCTTGTCAGGCTCTGTGGAAGGAGGAGACCAGCCCTCAGGCACCCTGCTCCCCCAGTTCCCTCCCCTCCCTGGGGGTTCCTCCTTATCTCTCCCTGGAGCACCTTGTAACCTCTGAGGACCTCCACCACCTCCTCCTGGGTGGCCATGCCCACCCAGATGTTAGGGAAAGCCGTGGTGTTGTAGCTCAGACCGATGCACATCTCCACCTGGACAGGTTCACAGGCCAGCTCTGCAGGAGTGGGAGGAGAGGGTCACTCTGGGGAATACTCACTGGCTGTGTGAGCTGGGACAAGTCACCTAAGCGCTCCCTATGGGTCAGACGGGGAGAATCAAAGGAGATAACACAGAGAGATGCTTTATCCATGTCGAGGATTCCTGTTTTCCTTGAGAGCCTACTCCAAGCATCATTCGCCAGCCCTGGGCATCATGCAGGCACGTCTATGATCTCGGGGAGCTAGGGGCACCAACATTGGCAGGACCAGGGCATCTGGAAGGAGCTCCCCCACTCTCCCCCCATCTCCGAGGTGGGCCCTGGAGAGGGCCTCTCTGTGTGACAAGGCTGGATGGGCTCTTGAAGCCTCAAACATCAACTCCCAGATTCCCATTTCCCTCGGGGGTGACACTAAGTACCCTTGCCACTCCTGGGGGAGAATCCCTCCAGTATTTGGTGGAGTGGGCCAGAGTCAGGCTAGTGGGCCCCCCACCCCATCAGGGAAGATAGGGATGGCTGTTATGACACGTGCCAGTGGGTTTTTAGGGATGGGCACCCAGCCCGCTCAGGCCTGCCAGCCCCTCTTGCGGTGCCCTGGGGCAGGCTCCTCACCTGGGGGTGGGAGCAAGGGGATGCTGCAGTTGTCATCGTTGCTCTCTGTGCAGTCTCTCCACATGCCACACATCCACTGCAGATTCTTACACCCTCCATCCCGGCAGGAGAACTCTCCGGGCCCACAGGGGTCTGCAGGCACAGGGGGCATGGCAGTGCCCTGGGACATGCCTGTACCCCCACTGCCTTCACAGTGCCCTGACCAGGGTCCAGAGCCCTTCCCTGTTCTCCTGGAGGCGCCTCCACTGCCCACACCCACTCGCCCAGGGCCACCTACTCTCTGTGGCATTGAGGGCCCGGTAGGTGGCCGAGAAGCCCCCGATGCTGATGCCATGGTCTGTCCTAAAGAGCACAGCCAGCTGGTGGTGCGAGGAGATGAGGCGCGGGGGCGGCTCTGCTCCACAGAACCTGCCCAGAGCAGACAGCCGTCCTGGCACGGGGCCCCCCCGCAGACGCGGCACGGAGCTGGGTGCTCTGGGCGATGCCAGAGGGGATGGGAGGCATAGTCACTGACTCATGGGACTGGTGAGGAAGACACACATGTTCAGGAGACAAAGTACTAAACAAACGAAATAAACTGCTTGAACTTGAGCCCCTTCGACCTGGGGAAAATCAGTGAGCGTTCTGGGGGAAGCTATAAATAGACCGGACAGGTGGGAGAGCTGGGACGGGGAGAGCTTCCTGGAGGAGGTGATGTAAGGAGCAAAGGTGAGGGGGACAGGTACGAAGGTGAGGAAGGACAAGCCTTTTTCAGGGTGACAGTGCGGGGAACTCCAGCTTGGCGCAGGAGAAGACAATGAAGCTAGTGCGTGCGTGGGCCTGTTCGTAGGAAGCCTTGACCTCGGACTCTGGAGGATGGGCTTTATCCTCAGCTCCTCCCCGCTGGCTCCACCAGTACCTGCCCAGGAGGCTGAGGGCCCCTGAGTTGCGGGTCTCATACACTTCCACGTAGTCAGACTTGCACTCGTCCTGAGCTTCCAGGCTGAAGTTGTGGAACAGCAGTTCGATGCCATGTCCAGCGGGCACCGAGATGTGCCAGGTGCAAAGCTGGGGGAGGGCACAGGTGGAGTAATTTATGGGTTCCTCCTTCTGTCCCAATCGGGGCCTCCAGGCTTGAGCTCCAGATGGGCTTCCCCCTGCTGCAGGCGGGGTAGGGAGTGGGCGGGCCCTGCCCACACTGCTCGCATCATTGGTGCTGGCGGAAGGGCCTTTAACTTATCTGGTCTCGGAGATAAGCTTACCCAGCACGGGGAACATGGATACCTAGTAAGCACTTAATACTGTTCCCTTCCTGCCTGCTTGATCTCTGACCTTCCCAAGTACAAGGCAGTATCTGCCATGCTGTCCTCAATCGCACTAACCCGGATGCTCAGGTGTGCCCACGTGGGCTGCACCACCCCCGCTATGGAGCGCTGGCTTACCTGTTGGTGAGGGTACTGCTGCAAGTAGCTGGGAGCAGAGAAAGTGCCCTGGAGCCCAGTCAGGTTCCCCCCACACCCTGTAGAGAGGAGGAGGGGCTCATGAGTTTGCCAGGGTCTGTGCCTTCGCCCGGTAGGGCCAGCAGGGATGGCAGAGAAGAGTTTTGGCTGTGCCCGTGGGGAGACAAGTTCTGGGCCAGAAGAATGACCAGGCAGGTTTGGAGCTGGGCCAGGCCTGGGGAGGCCTGCCTGAACCTGGATCAGATGCCTGAGGACAGTACCCGCCCTGAGGCTGGCCGGGCCCATACCCGAGAACTTGGCGCTGCAGTTGGCCTCGTCACTGCCATCAGCGCAACTGGCAAAGCCGTCGCACACCGAGTCGGGTAGCAGGCAGACGAGCTGGTCGCAGGGGAACTCATCGTGGGCACAGCTCCCTGGGGGCGGGCATCTGGATTCAGAACCCCCTAGAATCTCTACCCCTTTTGCAGGGCTGGGAGTGGCTGGAGAGGGGGGCAGCGGACAGTTGACAGGTAGCTGGGGACCTGGTGGGAAAACACTCACCATGACCGGGGGCCACGGCCTGGTACCAGGCATGGAAGCCAGATCCTTCCACGCTGCTGTCGGAGACGAAGGCCACGCGGAGGTGGCTGGCATTGGTGTTGAGTGTGGGGGGAGGCACCCTCCCACACACTCTGCAAGAAGCCAGATTGGGGGTGATGGAGGCTCAGAGCTCAGGGCCAGCCAGAGTGGAGCCTGCCTGGGCCCTGCGGTCCTCTTCCCTCAAGCCCCGTCCTGGGGACGATGTGTCCAAAAGGTTCCTTTCATTTCCAGCAGAGCTTTGACCTCCCTAGCTCCTGCACGTCCATTCTTGAGGCATTTATCCATGGGAAAGATATGTGAGAGCTCCATTTTCCAGATTTGGAAACCAAGGTCAGAGAGGGGAAGTGACCTTCCCAAGGTCATATAGCAAGATGGTGGCAGAGCTGGGCCCAGAGGCCAAGTCTCTCCGTTTCTTCCCAGTCAAGAATTTCCCACTGCAGTTCCCTGGTTCTGCCCTCCAGACAGTGGTTCAGGACGGGGGTGGGATCTCCTGGGGGCAGAGGGACCCACCTGAGGAGGGGGCCTTCAGGCTCGGGGGAGATTTCCAAGCGATCAAAAAGACAGGAGGCCACACTCTCCACGCTGAGAGCTTCGATCTTGAGCTGTATTACATGGTCTGTGGCCACTTGGATATGCCACACGCAGTGGACGTTGGGTGGGTAAGGGTCTGGGTAGTCGGGGCTGCTGAAGAAGCCCCTTGGGCCAGGAAGGAGGCCCCCACAGGCTGCAGGGACGGAGGTTAGAGTTCAGAGGTCAAAAGGAGAGAGACTTGTTTTTATAAGATGCCTCTTCCCGGCCTCCCTTCCCCCCTGCCGTCTTGGCCCTTCTCCGGGAAGATCTGCCCCGTAGTACTCACTTGACTGGGGTGTGGGGCTCACGCCTGCCTCCGGTTGCCCTTTAGGGGTCCCAGTTGCCTGAGAGGTGGTGGGGATGGGAGTGGGGGTGGAGCC